ATTGGAGAAACCGGGAGAATGGTCAACCTACGGATAAAAGAACACCAACGTGACGTCAGACTAAAACACTACACACAGTCGGCATTATCAGAATTGGCATCAATCTGTGTAACGCGCTTACCACCACGTTTATTCGACTTGTCATTTGTTGAAAATAATTGACGAATGTCCATTTGCTATTTATATGGAGTCCCAGGTATTTAATCTTCGTGGCTATCTGTACCAATTCTCCTCTTACCTCCATGGCTGGTAGGGGGCACGGTATCTTCTTTTGTACGAACACCGCCGCTTCCGTTTTTTGGCTGCTATAGTCAATCCTAATCTTTCAATGGCGTTTGCTATACTTGTTACCGCCAACTCGGCGCAAGCTGTCGCCTCTGCTATATTATCTCGGCTTACAATTACCAAGATGTCATCTGCATAGCACAGGACCAAGCATTCGTCTTGCATTTCCCCCTCGAGTATCGCATCGAATGCTATGTTCCAAAGTAGCGGTCCCAGTACTGAGCCCTGTGGCACCCCTCTCGTCATACGCATTTTTTCCATCTTCTGATCCTCATTTGCGAAAACAATCCACCTATTATCTAGGTAGTCCGAGATTACATTTCTCAGATATATTGGTACATTTTTGTTCCCCAGCGCTGTCATCTGTTCCCACGGAATTGAGTTGAACCCGTTTTTAATATAGCGACAACTGTCTTTCCTGCGTTTGTGGCTTGATCCGTAATTTCTCTTAATTTACATATAGCATCTACCGTTGATCTTTTGGCACGAAATCCATATTGATTTTCAGACAAGCCTGAGTTAGGTTCCAGGAACTCGTTTATCCGTTTGGCCAGCAGCCTTTCGAACAATTTCCCTCCTTCATTTAGTAAACATATTGGTCTGTACGAGTTCACTGCTTCGTCTGGCTTCTCTGGTTTCTTAAGTAAAACCAGTTTCGCCGTTTTCCACACCTTCGGAAATTTTCCTGCTTCCAGGCACTTTTGAAAACAGGCTCTCCACCTTGTTTCCATTACTCCTACTGATAACTCCTTTCCATAGTCCATCTGGTCCTGGAGCCTTATTTTTTGTGCCCATCTTCTTGATTACCTCTTGCATCTCCTGGTGTGATATATTCCATGTTTCGTTCCAGTCCGTGTCCACTTGTATCGGTTCCCTTCGCCGTCCAGCTGGAGACAGTTCCTTCACTACTTTTGTTACGAAATTCTTTTCCATAGATTCCGTCAGCGGTACCGTTGCTGGCCTTAGTTTATTCATTACCAGTTTATAAGGAAGCTCCCATACGTCGGAATCAATAATTGCAATCAGCTCCTTCCAAGCTCTCCTCTTTGACTTACTGATTTCTGATTTAAAGTCGTGCTGTAGTTGCCTATTCTCCCTTTTTAAGTCTTCTATTATCAGGGAGTTATTTTTTCTCCTCGCTCTTATAATTTTCCTTCTTACTTTGATGCACTCTTTTCGTATCTCCTTTAAGTTATCGTTCCACCAATAGGTGGACCGCTTCCTATGTACTCCTTTCCTTGGCATCGCCATATCCGACGCCAGTTTATACATGGTTTCTAGTTTTTTTGCCATCTCCTCTTCATTCCCTGTGTGTATATTGCTGTTGGTCCAGTATGAAAATGTTAGACTCGCTTTTAGTAGGTTTTCATCCAGTCTCCTTATGTTCCAGCTTGGAAAGTTCTTGTTTTTCATAGCCCTTAGTTCCTCTTTACATCCTTTATCACCTATGCTTATTTCTATGAGCTTGTGATCCGACAGCGTGATGACGTTTTCTCTTATCTTCCAGTTGTTTTCGTCTACTCTAGTGACGGGTGTTGCCCAAGATAGATCCACCGTTGACTCTCCTTGGGTCCTTACGCAGGTTGAGACGTATCTCTTGTTTAGTAATCTTATATTTAGCGCATTGGCAAGATCTATAACCATTTCACCCTTTATATTGAAATTCCTCGCATCCCACAATGGGGATCTGGCATTAAAGTCTCCTAGTATTAACATCTTCTCTGTTTGGATCGGGTGCACCACCGTTTCCATTCTTGTTAGCCAATACGAGTACTCCTCGTTATTTAAACTAGGGGGGAAATACACACTGTAATATGTAATTTCTCTGTATTTGACTACCACGTATCCGTCTCCTTTGGCTATGAGTCTAGCGATAAAATTTTGACTATTACAATAGATTGCTGCACCTGGTTTGTTCCCCGTGGATCCAAACCACCTATGGTTCACCGATACAAAGTAAGGCTCCGATATTGCAGTTATTTCTGCGTTGTTCTCTATTATTTCTTGCATTAATAGATCCTGTGCAGCCCTGTCGTGATTAATGTTTATTTGCCAAATTACTTGCTTCGCCATTTCTTCCTCTTATTCTTGGGGTTTCACTACTCTGTATGCGAGCTTCCCCAGCGGTCCTCCGCCCCGCATTTATGTTTCCGTTTGTTCTCATTAGTATTGGCGGTACTGGTCGGCAGTTTTCGCTTCCGGCCTTATGATTATACGGGAAGCCCCGCTCCTTGCAGACTGGGCAGCATGGTCTGTAGCGGCAGACATGGATCGTGTGGTCTGTTTCTCCGCAATTAAAGCATGCCCCGCTTCTGTCCATTTCGTTTAGACATTTTTGCCTAACGTGTCCTCTTGCCAGACATTTGAAGCATCTTAAAGGGCGTTTTTTTAGGATGTCGATTCTCGCCCATGACCATCCAATCCTAATTTTCCTATCGTTGGATATGTTTGCAGCCACTAACGTAGGGCATTGTACCCATACGGTACCCATATGTCGCTCCTAGACATTTTTATATTTCCAATTTTTATTCCGTCGTATCTGTTCCTGCTCAGCTTATTGATGACTTCCGCTATGTCTTCTCTCGTCACTGAGTCATCCAGGCCTGATATTAGGAATTCTGTCTTTTTGGTTGGTCTTTTTATGGCTACATCCTTGTTTATAAATATCTCCACTAGACGGTCAGCCAGTCTGTCATCCTTAATTTCCTGATCCTCACCGTCTATTTCGAATACCAATCCTCCCGAGACCGCTCTTCGCATCCTCATATTAGTGATATCTAGCTTTTCGAGCGAGATCTCTTTCTTGGCGAGGGTCATCGCCTTCGCATATGTACATCTTTCGTTACATATTAGGACAACCGCAGATGCTCTGGGTGGCCTAATTCCTCCTGACCTGAATCCAGCTCTTGTCCGTGCTATAGGATCCATTCTCTCCTGTGTGTAATCTCCTGTTTTTTCTTCGGTCTCTTCCTCGTATCTCCGGCTCCTGCACGTAGTCCCATTCCGTATTTGTTTCTTCTGTGCGTATGCTGCTTCTCCTTTCCCCCTCCGGTCTATATTGTTGCCTTCTATTACTTATTTCTCCCCTGGCATTGTCTTCATTTGTAGCCTCTTCCTCCGCGTTGTACCTATTCCTATTATAGAAGGTTTTATACGGTCTGGCGGTGGATACTTGTGTTGTTGTTCGTGCTCCGCTTGTAATTTCTGCGTATTTTTTATTATTTAATCCCCACTTTTCTTTACCCCTTTCCGATATGTTCGCAATGTATCTTGATTATGTTAGTGATGACCTGTTCTCGTTCTTATTTATGTCTCGATCTTTTTTCCCTAGTTCATCCATTATCACTGTCGGTTTTTTCTTCCTAGCAGGCAATTTTCCAATTGTTGCCTGTTTCTCTTTGATTTCACCTATAATTGCCTTTAGTCTCTCGATTTCTTGTCGGAGGGTTTCTATTTCTATTTTATGCTCCATCGCAATAGTCTTCCAATGGATAGCCTCTCCCCTGTTGCTCTGTCTATTAGTATTCTGACCGCCTGTTTTGTCATACTTATTTTAGTCTTCATTATCCCTGTGATGTTTCCTTTTATATTTTTCGAGACCGCCCTCACTCTATCCACTTCTTTCAGCTATTCCATTATTTCTGCGCCTATGTCGGCAGACCCCCGAGTTTCGATTCCCTCTATATTAGTCCTTACCATTTTCCTCTGGTTGTAAAACAGACTGCTATAATCATCGTCCGAGTCACTGGATTCTATTGCCTTCTTCCTCTTACTTCTTCTGCCTCTGGTTTCGAATATCCCACTAGTTCCTTCGTCCTTGGAGATGGTTATTAACGATGTATCCATTCTATTATCTTCTCCTATTAGTCTATCCGCTCTTTTCCTTTCCGTGAAAGGGGTGGGAGGTGCTATTTCCGCCGAGTCCTTCCATTCCACCACGTTTTCCTCTTCGCGGTTCCAATCGTTTATTCTATTGTTTTCAATTTTATTCGCTCGAATTACTGCTGAGGTGGATTCTTCGTTCTCTTCAAGTCTGATTAGTGCGCTACTTGCGCCTATTCTTCTGGGTGTGTTTACCATCCCTGAAGATCCATCATTTCATTAATTTTTTCCGCTATTAATGGGGCCATACTGGGGACTATCCTTTCTAGATTAATGCATGCCTCTTTGAGCTCGGGGCTTATCTTTTTTGGATTATCTATCATCCTTGGGTTTAAAGTTTCCGTTTTATTCTCTTTTATCTCTTTCAGGTCCTGCTCCATGTTTCCTCTTAAGGAGGCATCCACTGCCTCGGAAATATCGTTACTATCTCCTCTACCGGTGTCCTTAATATTTTAGCTCTTCCTCTGAATGGGGAACTTATGGGTTCCATGAGTCCCTCCCTCACTGTCGGCGAGATTCCGATTCTTTCTTCGTCGCTTTGGCTTGGAGATTTACTTCCTCTTCCTTTGTTCTTCTTACTGCCCATTTTGTACTTTTCTTTGGCTCTCTATCACTATTTATTATGTCACGACCTGATAGTCACAATATTAGTGTTGTTCAGGATTCGAACGTTTATCCGAATCGCTCGTCCAGATCGTTCGAGAAATTTGTTTTTCTCGTATGTCTATTGACTCGACTTTCGAGCGATCTCGACGGCGCAAACAAGTATTCGCGTGTCATTGACGACGAGAGTCCTTAGATGCGAAAAAAGGGCTTTCGTCACTCGTGTTATTGTCGCAGCTCATTCGTCACCGGTTGCTGGGCCGCTCATATCGGCGAATCGCGTTATCGCTCTCAGATTTCATATTGTGCGAGCCGATCGAGCTCGCACAAAAGTAAGTTCAGTTCGAGCCTGGAGTACGACGAGCGAGCACGCGACATCGCCACGAGAGACCGCGGACCGGCGCACCAAAAAATAAATAGTTTCCGTTGCCGTTACGGGGGAACTCGAAGGCCTCGTACGGAACAGAATGGTCCTTCGAGCCGGATCAGCGGCTCTGACTTATAACTCGCTCTAGTCTCTTCTCGTACTCACGCGAACGCTACTCAACGCGTTTCGCGCTGTGACATTATTGTGTTCCTCGCGGACGCTCCTTACGCTCCGTCGAGCTTCTCGTACTCTCGCGAAATCGCTAGTCAACGCGTTTCGCGCAGTGAAATTGTTGTGTCTCGCGGACGCTCCTTACGCTCCGCGAGCTTCTCGTACTTTCGCGAAATCGCTACTCAACGCGTTTTGCGCAGTGAAATTGTTGTGTCTCGCGGACGCTCCTTACGCTCCGCGAGCTTCTCGTACTCTCGCGAAATCGCTACTCAACGCGT